GGGCCAAACAAAATTTCCAGATTTTTCCTTATAACTAGGGTTAAGGTGTGACCTACCTGCCAAGTTTGAACGAAATCGGCCAAGCCAAAAAAATCACAGAAGAAATAATACGTGAACACTGGAACACTGGAAATGTACACACACAGACACACACACACACACACACACACACAAAACGACAAAAGTGATTATAAGGGCAATCCTAGCGGAGCGGATCGCCAACAAAAACATACAACCAATAACCAATGGACTTTTGTTGATAACAAGGCATCAAGAGTGTTATAGTTTCACCAACAAATTTAATCTATGGGCCATTCAATTTTGTACTACCCTGACATATTATAATACTCATTCTGCATAATAATCCATTCAGTTCAAATTTTACAGACAATTAAATGATTATTAAAGTGTTAATTATTTAAATTATAGTTAGATTCCGGTAGCACCTTTTTTTGACCAAATTAATCATTTAAGAAATACACTTTCCCAAAATGTGTTTGCATGTATGTTCTCATTGTGCAAGAACGTCGGCATTAAACAGTATGAAGCCAAAGAAGTTCATATTAAAAATATGCAAACAATGTAATTTATCTAAAAGAATAGATCTGACTATTCTAATACATATCTAAATAGACTAAGTTATATGTTATATATACTATATGTTCTCTATTGACACTGTCATGTCTACAAACAATAACAATTTACTTTTTTCGTTCAATTCATAGTTGCAGTTTATAATCCGAAATGAGGACGTTACTATTGAGAAAATCTATATATTCGACGGTGGTGGCGGGTATTTGGTTTACGTTATTCGTATGTAAAACAGGTGTAATAAGCAGTGTATACATTTGGTGGTAATAAAATGCGGTTACAGCAAAATGCATTATGTAATTATTGGATATGTGCGTGTGTGTTTAACATGAGACATTACATCAAATTCCATCGTGAAAAAGAAGTTATATCGCAAGCAATGTAAATTTCAAATTAAATATTAAATTACAATTATGAGGAATACGTGCCTTGGTAATAGATGTAGGTTTTATGTTAATAACACAGTGTATTCGTTGTATTCGTATTCATACATATTATTTAAAATTTTATAACGCAAAATTATACTTATCTTGCCAATACTAAACATTTAGTTTTGAATTAAACTTAACAGGCAAACCTCCTATTTGCACGTCAGATGCCAGTAAAATGTGGCGACTTGGGAGGCCCTAGCTCCCATATCGATCAATTCTAATTTATTGGAGATTGTAGCGACGGGAGTCAGTTTGAGTAATGTACTGTACCAGAATTGTCATTTAAAATTGCTGTTCTAAATCCCCAGAGGGAGCGCAACCACACATAATTTAACTAGTTGACCCAAAAAAACAAAACAACTGACTGGTCTTGTCATCTCACACGGAGTATATGATAGTACGAGGGGCGTTCAATAAGTAATGCCTCTGACCCATTTCCCATAGCAAGAGATTAATGAAACTTGGCACAGTTATTAGCCTCTACATAGGAACCACCCAGAGTTATGCATTTCTCCCATCGTTTGATGCAGCTCTAGACACCGATTTTGTAGAACACCCCAGGTTGGTTCTCCAACCACGTCGTATCTTCAGAAATCAAGGCTGCGTCATCTGGGAAAGGCTTTCTTTTCAAAAACAACTCCATGGCTAGGAAGAGATGAAAGTCAGAGGGTGCAAGGTTAGGAGAGTAAGGGGTATGTGGGAGGATTTTATAGCAACACGCCCGTGCTTCTGATCAGGCGACATGCGAGTTGTGGACTGGAGTGTTGTCCTACAGGAGGAGGATACCTTTGCTGATCTTGCCCCGTCTCTTGATTTTGATAGCTTCTCTTAATTTCATCAAAAGTGGAGCGTAATAGGCTCCCGTAATTGTGGTACCCTTTGCCAGGAAATCTGTCATCACTACTCCGTCCTGGTCCCAGTAGATTGTGAGCATGACCTTGCCAGCGGAGGGCTGCACCTTTGCCTTCTTTGGAGGTGGTGAGTACAAGTGCTTCCACTGCATTGACTGGGCTTTGGTCTTCGGATCATAGTGATGGACCCAATTTTTATCCTGTGTAATCAGTCTTTCGAAAACCTTTGACTCATCTTCTTGGCACATCTCCAGATTCATCCTCGAGCTCTCGACGCATTCTTGCTTCTGGGAAGGTGTGATCAACCTGGGAATTCATCTCGCAGACACCTTATGCATATGCAAATGGTCATGAATGATAGTTTCCACAGACTCGTACTAATCTTGATCTTTTCGGGCTATTTCGCGAACAGTAATGCGTCGATCTTCCAAAATGGCTCCCCCAACGGACAGATGCCTCATCAATGGCAGAAGAGGGACGACCAGGTCTGGGAGCTGTATCCACAGACTTCCGGCCATGTTTGAATTCACAATGCAAGCGTTTTAAAAGTTTATATGATAGGGCATCATCGCCATAAATTTCATCAAAAGTCTCCTTTGGTGTGCGTCCTTCCAAATACAAAAACCGGATCACTGCGCGACACTCAACAGACTCCATTTCACACCTGACTCAGTTCAAACACCTGTAAATCACAATTAGATCAGAGCTGTTTTTGCAACATAACCCATAGAGATGTAAATCATTACAGATGCAAAATTTCATCTAGATAGTGTGTCAGGGGCATTACTTATCGAACGCTCTTCGTAGATCAATGGATAGAAGGAATGGAGAATGCTGGACGAATGTATGTATAGTTAGTTGGGCGATGGTCATCTCACATCGTCATGATAGATACGGGTCTCATATCGACCAATAAAACACGCGTAAAACAGTGTTTTAACTAATATCACGTGTGATATATACTATAAAAATTTCATTGTAGCGAAATAATAGGTTCGATAACTACTTGTATTAGATTATACGTTCTACCAAATAAAAGTAATCTCAGAATTTTCCAAACGATCATTTTTGTTAAGTTAATATTGGCAAATATATAACTCGGTTGTACAACACTTCATGTTATCTTTGCGTAAGTTAAAACCTCGTACGAGTCTAACGCGAGATTTAATGTCGAGACTGCAGGTAGGTACATCTATCACGGATGGGACTTTATTCTAAGAAGAGTCATATCTATAGTTTTTTATTTCAGGGAAATTATTTAATAATATTTAAAGGCATATAGAGACAGTCGTGTCAATTGTGTGCGGAATGTGTAATGGTGTGAGAAGCGTCGTGATTTTCAAAGAGGAATATGCTATACATGCTCTATTATGCAATGTGTAGATGCAGTATATGTGTATGTGTTTGCTGGCATTATTTTTATAAAATGTGCATAGGGAAATTGTGGAAGCTGGACCTAAAAGACAATACCTGCATTGTGATAAAGTTATTATTACTTCGAAATATTATATAGCACAAGAGCCAATGACAACTATCGTGTCTCAAATAGCAACTTGCGATCATGTCGACAGTTGTATAATGTCTGAATTATAAAAAAAGGTGTTGGTGTTCTTTTTTTATCTCAATAAACTTGGTCACAAATGGAGTTACAATGGGACGAGTTAGCCGTCATTACTCATAAGTGCTTTCGTTTGTTTATATTTCTTCACCTGGCGATTGACAGGGCAGTCACCTTGATGAACCGAGTAACACCCTAGTAACCGTTATTCCGCGCTGATTTTTTTTTTCCTTTGTAAATTATAACTATTTCACAGTTTTCAGTGCGTTTACAAAAAAATCATTATAAGCTATCGATAACATATTTTAAAACTTGTTTACCAGTATGACCAGTCGACACGAGAACCCTCTAATAACAACAATACGCAAATAATTGACGTAGTATATATATATTTATTCATTTATTATTTAAATATGGAGGCTTAGCGGACGTAAGCCGCGCCCCCAACCGGCAGTTCAAAGTATCCTTTCAAAATAGCTGATCGATCCTTTTTGAATTCGTGGCTAGTTTTGGTTATTTTGTGATTCATTTGACACGTTTTAGGTAGTTTGTTTTTTTGGGGTCGTTCCATGGTTTTTCACTTACCATTAATTATTATTATATTGGCGACAAAATTGACTGAGTAACGGTTTACATTACACTGGATTCCTAAAAAACACAAAGTCGCCATCACATCAACTTTCGTGCATGTCTTCCTTGCAAAAACCGTTAAATCATCAAAAAGCAAAATTGCCTAGCACATGAGATTAAGCGATGCACAGTAGTTTACCAATAAATAAACTAAACTAAATATATAATTAACACGTTATCATTCGTTCTTCCATTCGTTTGTTTGCTCATTCATTCATTCATTCATTCGTCTATCTGTTAATGAAATGTGCATAAAAAAACTATCGACCGACCTAAATTACAACTGTGAAATACTCATTCTATGTATTGACGAGTGTGGGTGTCATTTACTAATGAAAATAATTTATCGAAGAAATTAAACTGTAACTCTGGCAGCTATTCTGTTTAGGAATAAATAAGTAAGTAATATGTTGTTTTTAATCTACAACAGTTAGAAAATATGAAAATTATACTTGTAAAAGTGCAAATTCAAATACAGTTGAGATTTTTAATTGATGAATTGTTTTTTTTTTTTTTTTTTGCATCTCAAGCTTACACATAGTAGGATCAGTAATACCCTAATAGGAATTTGAACAAATGTTAGGTATACATAGAAAAGTGGAATTGCTTATTTTCCTGTGTTGGCCAACTGACTATCAGTATAATTCACAATAGCGTAGGCCATTATAGAATATAGTGTTGCACAATAGCACTCATAGCTATATATTGTGTAACGAGATTACTAGGGATTTTTGTATTGGAGCCTTGCACAATATAATAGGCATTGTAGAATTTGCATGAAAACGAAGGCGACATTTAAGTAACACGATTCGGGCACATTAATGCGTATAAACTACAGATTAAAACTGGATTTATCACAAATCCAAAAAAACAGTCAGTAATATAAATACAGAAAAATATAATAGAAACTTTGTAATACAGTAGTAATGTATGGAAATAACAACGAAATAGAACTTCACAAAAAGTTCAAAACAAAACACAATCTGATTAATAAAATACGATCCTAGTTTGGGCTTATTTTTTTTCTAAATATGGTTTTAATTATTATTATGCATTTTTTACTTTACTTTATTTTAATTTATTATTAAATTGCTGACAGTTTTTTTAAGAGTTTTGGAAATCGCGAGGCCATAGTTAAAATAGGTGTATGTATAAAATATATAAAATTAAATTAAATTCACGTTGTACAATACACCATATTTTAATTATTGTTTAAATAATAACACATGCTTGTGAAGGTAATATCACGATTTGTTGCTTGCCCAAGGGATGGTGGTCA